CCCATATTTCAAATGATACACGAAATCTACACAGACTAACGGTACCTCTCTCTCCCCACTACCCATCCCCCCCCCTACACTCACCAACATATCAGCACACAGTACATCTGACAACACACGTAGTAAAGAATAACAGCGGCACGCACACAGGAAGACTACACAGGGTAAGTACAAAAAACAATATAAACACATAAGAAAACATTACGTACACAAGATAATAATACGAATATATTTATATATTACAGATAACACGTATACAGCGTGGAAACAAGAACTAGCCGCTGCAGCACTTTAGACATAGGGCGAGTAACCCTAACAATTTTAAATTTAGAGAGAAAAAAAAAATTTAAAGGATTTTAAAATTAGAACTAATGATTTTATAGTGCTACTACAGGTATGTCAAAATTAACGTGTGTAAAATAATCTACAAACCAGACAGATATCAACGAAGTAGATGTTGATAATAACAAGGAAAGTGTTTTAAATGTTAAATTTTGGGCTGGGTGCAGTGTGACAGCGGCGTGAGTGTTATACACCTGATGATGGCCGTCTGAGGCCGAAACATGTAGTGTAGAGGAACAAGATCAAGGACACATAATATATTGTTTGCACTTGGGACGGAATTTGTATCATTATATCATTTATATTGGGTTTGCTGGTTCAGTTACTGTTGTAAATTTCTATCCAGTTACACAGGCAACTCATAATGAAATATTTGGCTATTATTATGTTTGTCTTTCAAGATTTTGCCTGCTGGATAATGTTTCCAAAAATCCTGTTTCTGTGAAGCCTTTTTGGATTCAGAAGGTACTGACAGACCCCAAAACAGTGGAACAGAGCAGTTTTTACATTTCAAAATTCAGAAAGTAAAATGAAATTTTAAAATTTAGAACTTATGTTTTTCTGGCAGTTAACAGTTTTGATTACCTTGACTTTCTTGAAATATGTAGTCTCTTGAAATTGGGTTTTATAAGATTTTAGAAGGGGCCAAAGGAAGCAGTTTAACAATTATAAATGTACATTTAGAGGGATTGTATTGTATGTGCAGTGAATCCCCATTTTAAGTTTTTTTATTTCATGTTTAATGATTTCAAGTCAGTAATCTCAGTGTTTAGTTTCCTAAATTACTATTTCCCTGACTTAATTTTTCAAATGTGCCGCTTCCTAAAGAAATTGTAAACGGAAGTTTCACTGCACGAAGTTCTGAAGGATGATAAAACTGTTGCAACGTCATTGTTTATTGGGGTGAATTGGTCATCGCTGAATGTAATGGAGGAGTTGATCTCAGTTGTTACATATTTGAATTGGTGAGCAATGGTATCAGATGCAAATTACACATAAGACATGAAGATTTTGTCTATTTTTCTTCACCAGTTATTCTGTTCATGGCTGTAATTCTCCAAATTTGGGACTTATATGATAATTCTTCATGCAGACAAAACACAATGAAGGTTCGCAGAATCTGAATAACTCCCATGACTGGGTGAATTAAGGAAATACAAGGATAATGACTCTCCAAGAGGAAGATACAATACAGGATGCAATTATAATTTTATAATATGTATTTCTTTACAATGAAAATGAGTCTCCAAGAGGAAGATACAATACAGGATGCAATTATAATTTTATAATATGTATTTCTTTACAATGAAAATGAGTCTCCAAGAGGAAGATACAATACAGGATGCAATTATAATTTTATAATATGTGTTTCTGTACAAGGAAAATGACTCTCCAAGAGGAAGATACAATACAGGATGCAATTATAATTTTATAATATGTATTTCTTTCCAGCATTATTATGAGTCTGGTCGGATGATGGTAAAACTGGCAGAGGCAATCGGACGACTGGTTCTCTCTGGCAGAGATATGACACGGCTTGCTGGCTTCACTGCACGTGTCACAGACCTGATAAAGGTTCTGAAAGATCTCGGTGAAGGCCATTATGTCCGAACAATGGTGGGAAATACAGGCTCTGTATGCAACGGCATAGATGAGGGACTGATTAGTAAGGAACTTTGGTTATGATGATAGAAACTTTTGTAGTCTCATGATCAGGTCAGTTGTAAATGAACTGCACAAAATATGAGCAGTTAAATTGATCCCCCATTGTAAATATTTCTGCCATTTTGGATTGCCACATGCTTGTACATTATGGTGCTGAATGTGAGAATTGTTGCCAGAAGGAGTGGGAAATACAGATGTTCGTGAAATTTATATGACATTTAAGGTTTTCATGGCAGTGAAGATATAGATTGTGATCTGGGTTGTGACACTGTAATCTTCAGGTGGTTACCAGTGTTTCAGAAGAGTCTGCAGCCTCTAATTTTCTGAATGAAAGATCTACGCAGACAGTGAGGCCAGCAGGTTCATCAGAATCCCTTGTAACCACCTACCAGAGTATATGGTGTCATAACCTAGAAGACCATATTTTAAATCTGAAGTTTAGATCAGCATTAGTAAGAACTAGTAAACTGTTGGGTCCAGATTGACCTTGACCATCCAGAGAGAGAGAGAGAGAGCATGCATGCATTAAGGGGGGGGGGGGCGGGCATGCTCGCGCATTGTGTGTGTACACATGCATGCACCCACACAATCCCCCCCACCCCCTTCCTCTCTCTGTGAGTGGATGTTCAAGGTCAATCTGAACCCATCAGTTTATCAGTTCTTACTAATGCTGATCTAAACTTCTAATTGAAAATGCCATCATGGAGAGCTGCCTGAAGCTGCCCCTCCATCCCCCACCAACTTTGAGTGGTGGAGGTTGTAAATAACACCTGAAGTAGGAGGAAATATAAATGTTTGTATATGTATGGCTGTTCTAATAAGCATATTATCTTGTTATTTTAAAACTTGATAATTGCCTGATTATTTTTTATATCTATAATGAAGGCATGCGCATGCTTCCCCCCCCCCCCCCACCCCTACGCCCTTTNTTTCTTTCTGGTCATATGCAGCATTATGGCATGCTGGCACTTTGTAACTCAAAACTGTAAACATTATATTAAAATGTGCTGAAAGTGAGGAAAAACTAAAGTTGAAAGAATGGAATACATGTTATTTTAGCTTTATTTTATTAGCTTGTTTGTGTCAAAAACTTAAAAAATATCCCCCTATCATGTGTGAGGGAAGGTACTTTTCTGACTAGGAAAGAGCATGGTGTGTGTGTGTCCGTGTGTGCCATCACGTGAATGTGTATAGAAATTGTGTGTGTTTAGGGACTAATCCTGAAGGGGTTGATCATGATCGATCAAACCCATTACATACCTCTTTCTCATCACTGTGGTCGCAGTGCAAGGGCCAAGAAGGCCCACCCCTTATACATACTGCATACTGAATTTTAATACTTGTTGCCTTCCCTGAAAGTTACTACTTTTATTCATTTACTCTGCAGTTTCGGATTTTCGCAAGCCCAAATATAACTACAGTGAAAAATGTACTCTGTTGGTCAGTGTTGTATTTTATTCTGCTTTTTTTATTTGCAGCAGTCTTTATTTCTTATGCCACTTAGTAAATTACAAAATATTAATGTATGTGTAAGATTTGAGGCTTTCACGGCGGTGACTATGAAGAAAGCAGTCTTCTGGGATTTGGCGATACATTCCTCCGAAACGTCGGTTAACACCACATATACACGGTGCCAAATCCCAGAAGACTGCTTTCTTCATATTAATGTATGTCCTTGTAGGACCAACGTGAACCAAAATAAAATTCACTACTACTTCGTAAATATAATGGCTACTAGGATATTTGGTACAGGGTTCTCATACCAAACTAACATTCATATTCATACAAGTCATTTAGTTTTAGTTTTTCTTCCTTACAGATTGTTTTTTTACAATCTTTTACCAGTTTGTTTATTTTTCAGTAACTTTTTTCCCCACAACTTTGGGGACTTAAGTTATAGCATGTGGCCTTACAAATTAATAATAGAGGACTTACAGATTATTCACTTTATTGTTCTCAGGTAGCAGAAAGCAGCTCTCTATGCCCCTTATCCCAGGGTCAGGAAGGATCATCTTCCAGGACAACATAATCCGTTTTGATAAGGTTCCACTGGTGACACCTAATGGTGATGTTTTGGTGGATGAACTGACCTTTGAGGTTCGCTCAGGGATCAATGTACTGGTTTGTGGGCCCAATGGATGTGGAAAGAGTTCACTTTTCAGGGTTCTAGGAGAGGTGAGATTAGTGCAGGATAAGAAATTCACACCTTTGTTGTATTCTGAATTTATTTTTAGCCTGATTTCCTTACTTTATAAGGAAAAATATTGTAGCATATAGACCTGTTCCTAAATGGTGACTGTAAACAACAGCTTTTGCTATGCAATGGGCTAATAAACACCCATTTGTATGCAGTGGTCGAGATACTGTTTTACTATAACCATGGAAACGGTGTTTTGTACTTGGTTTGTGCCGAAATGTTATAAGCAGTGTCAGTCGAGCCAGAGTTGTTGGTTAATGTTGCCAACAGTTCAGTTGAGTGAAGAGACATGAAGTAGCTGTTTGGCGAGTTAGAGTGTTCAGCTGTCAGTTTTCAGTTGGAAGTCAGCCTGTGAAGAGAAGACTAGGAGGTTGGTGTGAAATGGCCGCCAGCCTGGGACCCAGTTAGTTGAGCTGTCAGCTGACAAGAGTTCCGCATGGGCAGCTGTGACAAGAGGTCCTCAATGCAGGAAGCTGAAGAATCTCCACAGTGTTAGAAGCCATTATCAGGAAATGGCTAGTGGAGACTGTAATAGACGACACCAATCTGTGTCAGTGATCTGTAAAGTGTAGTTCCAAGTGGTGTATACAAGTTTTTAATAAATCTGATGTTCAATCCATGCCCCATCTATAATTCACACAACGCTCAAATACGTGTCAATTTGCTTATGATATCATGCCAGAGTGTCTTATCCACAAACTTTGTAGCGGTTCATAGTTATCATGGAAACTGATATGAATGTGAAACTTTGGGTTTGTGCCTTTTAATTTTTTGCCATTGATATTACTGATTTGGTGACAATGTGAACATTTAAGGTGTGACAGTAATGCTGTTTGGTATAAAATCTTGAAGTTTTTATTTGATAATACATAAGCATGCAGTTCATTGGTTAAAGTAATTCCTTTATAGAATGTAAAGCAGCATAATTGTATCTGAACAAAATCTGCATTATCTGTTGGTTTGCTGCCAGTAAGTAATAAACCATTGGTGGTAGTTGTGAAAAAATTTTATATTGAGATCTTAAACATAACTATAATTTTTTTTTAAATTTTCATTTCGTGCATCCTGTTGTGTTATAATATACAATTTCTTTATTAAAACCGTCACAACACCACTATATTAAGGTCAGTGCCAATTCTTTCTGAATATTCTTTCTATACTGGTATTTTAACTATTAAGGAATATGGGGATGATCATAATTTTTGAGGTCATATCTGACAGTCTTAACAGTAAAGATTGTTGTTAGTGTAATTTATGCACACATCAATAAATTGTTGAATTACTTTGTAGTTCAGGCTAGTCAAGAAGAATTCCTATGATTTAAGACTGTCTGTAAACTATTTAACTTGTTTTTAGGACATACCAATGAAGGTTGCAAAAGTGCACCTGTTGCATGAATCATGTGTGTGTGTTCATCTGTTAGCCCATAACAAGTCAGAAATTGCTGAACAGATATTCATAAAATCTGATACTAGCATCTTTACTAAAGTTTGTTGACATGTTTCAGTTTTGATTAAAATCAGATGACAGTAATGGATACCTGACATGATGGTAGATGTGCATATCTGAACACATGGGAATAACACTAAACACCAGAGTGCAGAATTTTTGGACAGAAGTTTGATACACAAAATACACTTCTCCTAAGCTGAATGGTTTTCAAGATAAAAGCAAATTTTGTGTTGTTTTACTTCATCAAGAGCCTTTGAATTGATTCTGATCAGATCACCTTATGTAATCCTAGTGTTACTTCATGTGAAGTGGGTTTAATGCCCACTGTTCCTGAATTTAGAAAACTATTGTTTTCCAAGTTTCTTTGCGTGTACAAACATTCTAGTAATCCATGTGTGCAGTTCAAACTTCCCATATTTTAAGAATTATTCATACTTTTATGAAAGTGGTTATTGTCATTGTCATCATTTGTGCCCCCCCCCCAAGTGACAATTGGAAATCTCTCATTTTGCTTTTAGGCTCCTCAGATATGTAGTTATATTAATATTTAGAAGTGGTGAATATTTTTCTTTGCCTTCTTTGTCTCTTTCATTTCACTGTTTTGGTTCTCTTCCTTGCTAGGTATGTACTCATTGTGACCCATTCTAGAACTACTCAAATTGCTCCATTCATACAGGGTTTTCTTGGAACCCTCGTTTTAGTTTAACACACAAATCCTGTTTGGGAGTCTGTGACCTTGCATCTGAAGAACATTATTTTTCCATTTACTTTGATATTCCTTGACATTCCTTGTATGTCCTTTCATCTTACTCTCCCTCAAAGTTACTTTCACTCACAGGAACATCATTTCTACTGCTTCAGCCCTCTATCTCTGGCTGTAAGAATCCAGTACGCGCTCTCATATGCTTGACCTTCATATAACATGAAATCTTACTAGGACTAGCTTCGTTTGTAGTCCAAAATGTCTCTTCAGTACTGTTATTGATTTTATTATATTTTATGCTATTATTATAGTATTTGTATAATTTAGGGGTTTTCACAGTGTTGGTTGTTCAGGGCCATGAAAGTATGTGTAGTGTTGTAGGTAAATTCCCATTGTATTCACATACAGGGCTACACAGTAATAGCAATCCAGAAGACCACTATGCCAGTATTGGTATTTTATATAAAGTATTTTGTTGTTAAGAGATCAATTTTTCCCTTCACATATTTCTTGCCATGACTACAGACATACATTTCCTAATTACAATTTAACCACAGTAGGAATGAGTGTGTTTTAACAATGAGAATCTTATGACAAAACTCACTGGCACTGCCAGTTTGTTGATGTTGCATATCTGGAAAAGTTATGTGTAATATGTGGAGTTTTTCTGTCACTTTCATTATTACAGGGAATTCTTAACTAGCTGTAACTTCTTGCACTCTTTGCATTTTTCTCCAATCTGTGAGAAAATCTTTAACTTCTCAATTCTGATGTAGTTAAGACATCAAGAATAATGAATATTTCATAATTATTTTCATATCTTTGTGATAAAATATATTAAATATTGCCATGCAACAATTTTTTTAAGTTTTTGCTTTATTGTGGTGCACAGAATTAGAAATTAGGAATAGGACTTGAAGGTCATGCATTATAACCATTTTTGGATATTGCAAGTACTCATAATGAGCATTTGTATGAATTTTTTAAATTCCTCTTTATATCAGAGTTTCACTCAGTGTGGTTCTTGATAGCTACAGACAGGTTTACTCATGTTTAGCTGTGGGTCAGTATTTTTTTAGTCCTACCTGAGAATGAACAAGGCAGTTAATAAATGCCAGTCATTGTATGGCTTTTGTGTTAAGACTGTATGCCTGATACACCTCAACATTTAGCCAGTTTGCTATTGTAAGGAAATATTATATTTAAGCATCCTGTTGCACTCTACATGATAAATGACACAAATTCCGTCCCAAGTGCAAACAATATATATTATATGTCTTTGATCTTGTTCTTTCTACACTACATGTTTCGGCCTCTATCGGCCATCATCAGGTGTATACTCTTAACGTTGCTGCCACACACACTGGGGTCAGTGTGGCAGCAACGTTAAGAGTATACACCTGATGATGGCCGATAGAGGCCGAAACATGTAGTGTAGAAAGAACAAGATCAAAGACATATAATATATATTGTTTGCACTTGGGACAGAATTTGTTTCATTTATATTGTAAGGAAAGTTATATTTCTTCATAATTTACCACAAAATATAGGACTGTCATTTTAAATTACATAGAAAATCACTCTTTTATGTCATTCATAGTTGGAAATTCTGACAGGAAAGTCTTGGTGTCCAGCAATTTTTGTCCAGTAACCAAGCTTTGTAGCTGTGTTTCAGAACACAAAACAGAGAGATGCTCAGTTTGATTCTTTTGCAAATTGCCTAGACTGTTCCCTTTGATACCTGAGGACTTTGAAAGTTATCTGCTATGCCATAAACTAAAATTACAAATCCAAAATCTTCTGCCACATTTAAAACTTTAATCTTTTGACGTTTACCAGAGAGTATGTTGTGGAGGGCAGATCTGAATGTTTTAAGCTTCTGTGATTTATGGATCGTTGTTGCTCACTGTTGATGTTAATTATTTATTTGTTAGCTGTGGCCACTGTTTGGCGGCACACTTACCAAACCACCAAGAGGAAAACTTTTCTACATTCCACAGAGACCATACATGACACTGGGCACACTGCGTGATCAGGTAATGAATATTCTCTTCCTGTGATAGTAAATATGTATTAGTTTTAAAACTTTATCATACTTCAGGCATATTCTTGTAAATTTAGTGGTTAAGTATTACTCTTGATTAGGAAGGATGTGACTCTGGCTCATGTCTAGAAAATATTTGGCTTTATATCTCATTGTATCGTATTGTGTGATATCACATCATTATTAGGTCTGTCATCAGATTGAATCAATTGATTATTGATTCACCATTTATTTGTTGATTAATAAGTAAATTAGGGGGGCATGTGGAGTCCAACTGGGTCCACTCAGCACGGCAGCCATTGATTGGCCTATTGTACCTGCCCTGGTTGATTATGATGATGGAGAATTTGGTGAAATGAAGATTGGCAGGGGAAACTGAAGTACTTGGAGAAAACCCGCCCCAGCGCCATTTTGTCCACCATAAATCCCACTTGAACAGATTCGGGATCGAACCTGAGCCATCATGGTTAGAAGCCAGCAACTAACTGCTTGAGCTATGGTGCGGCCAAGGGGGGCATGTGGTAGCATAGTTGGTAGAGATACTATGCTACAAGCTGGAAGGTCGCAGGATCATATCCCGATGAGGTCACTGGATTTTTAAGTTTACCTGATCCTTCTAGCTGCACAGTGGCCCTGGGGTCGACTCAGCTTCTAACAGAAATAAGTACCAGGAATTTTCTGGGGGGGGGGGGG